TCTCTCTCTCTCTCTCTCTCTCTCTCTCTCTCTCTCTCTCTCTCTCTCTCGCACACACACTCTTTCTCTCTCGCTCGCTCTCTCGCGTTCTCTCTCTCTCTCGCTCTCTTTCTCCCTCTCTCTCTTGCTCTTGCTCTCTCTAGTGAGAGAGCTCTCTCCTTCCCTCTTGCTATCTCTCTCTCTCACTCTCTCTCTCTCTCTCTCTCTCTCTCTCTCTCTCTCTCTCTCTCTCTCTCGCACACACACTCTTTCTCTCTCCCTCGCTCTCTCGCGCGCTCTCTCTCTTTCGCTCTCTCTCTCCCTCTCTCTCTTGCTCTTGCTCTCTTTAGTGAGAGAGCTCTCTCCTTCCCTCTTGCTATCTCTCTCTCTCTCTCTTTCTCTCTTTCTCTCTCTCTCTCTCTTCTCTCTCTCTTCTCTCTCTCTCTCTTTCGCGCGCGCTCTCTCGCGCTCTCTCACTCCCCCATCTCTCCCCTCTCTCTCTTCTCTCTCCATGTCACCTTTGTTTCACCTTTACCCGTCAGTCGGTAGGGTTTTTTCTCCACACGCCACTCTCATGATTTTGGCTTGCCTACAGAAACTGCAGCAGCTACATGGACTAACTGCTCATACAATGCTGACACTGAAATTAAATACTGATCGGATAATTGTTAGCCGCCATCATCATGTTACGAGAACGTGATTGATGTGGTTTGTTATCACAGTGAGGGTTAGGGTCAAGGTTAGGGTTAGGGTAAAGGTTAGGGTTAGGGTTAGTGTCAGGGTTAGGGTTAGGGTTAGGTTAAGGTTAGTGTTAGGGTTATGGTTAGGGTTATAGTAAGGGTTAGGGTCAGGGTTGAGGTTAGGGTTAAGCTTAGGGTTAAATTTAGGATTAATGTTAGTGTTAGGGTTAGGGTTAGGGTTAGGGTTAGGATTAGGGTTAAGGTTAAGATTAGGGTTAAGGTTAGGATTAATGTTAGTGTTAGGGTTAGGATTAATGTTAGGGTTAGGTTTAGGGTTAGGGTTAGTGTTACCGTTAGTGTCAGAGTTGGAGCTATAATATACGCTTGTATTTTCAGGTTACTTGTGTTTCCCTTGCGTACTTGTATTTATCAGCGTACACCCGTGACTATAACCGAACCCCTCTCTCTCTTCTACATTTCGCAGAAAACCATTCGTCCCAGGCCGGCAGATCGGCGGAGGAAGCTACCGGCAGGGAGGAGGGGGAGGTCATCCCCAAGGAGGAAGTTCCGGATCGCAGCGGCAGCACGTTCAGCCACGACCACGGCCACTCCTCCTCTTCGAGCGACGAGTCCCCCGTCAAGGTACTTCCCCGCCACCACCACGCCCTGCCGCTGGAGACCGACTGCCGGCTTCCTCTCTCGAGAGACTCCCTCGAGAAGGCGGCGGCGGCGGCGGCGGCAGCGGCGGCGGCGAGAGGCAACGCTGCGGGCGATCGACCGCCCGACATCCTCTGAAGTATTACCAGAGCGAGGGCGGAGTCGAGTGCCGCCGGCGAACAGTTGACATGCAGCCGCGCGGCGCATTCACCCCACACGCTGCTGCGGTACCTGCTATCCCTAGGTACGGCGGGACGGCTCCCGCGATGCCGTTCGGCCGCTCGGGTGGCAGTTCTGCTGCGCGACGATCGCACGCGCTACACGTGCGGCCGCCGGACACTCTGCTACCTCAGCCAGCTTCGCGCGGCCGCGGGAGTCTACCGTCGTGCGGAGGAACAGGCGCACCCGGGCCCTCGCCGCGACTGACGCAGCGGCGGAGGGTCGCACCTGCCGCGAAGGCCGGCGCGCGGCGCGCTGCAGCGGCGCGGCAGCCGCAGCAGCGGAGCCGCGCATCGAGATCGGGGCTCGGCTGCCTCAATGCGGCGAGTTCATGCGCCGCCAAACCGGCACGCTCTGTTCCATCAAGGGTTTCGCCGGACTCGCGGCCGGCGGCGTTCGACGGGCGCGGTGCGTCGCTCGGCCTCTTTCGGCTAGCAGCTGCGGCCCGTTCTACAGTCGCGCACGCTTCACCCTAGTCAGCTGGCGAATCACCGAGCGACGACGATTGGTGACAGACCGCCAGTCCTCTATCTGCGAC